CTCTTTTTTATATAGACATTTAGAGTTATATATTTTCATCTAAGAACTGCCTTAGCTGCATTCCACAAGTCTTTGTATATTGCCTGTGCTTTTATCTCTAGCAGTTATTGGAAGTGGAATATTGATATTTCCAACGGTTCTTATTGGATTGTTTATTCCTTCATTCAGTTTTGTAAGTTTTTGCTTCATGTATTATGAGGATCTGGTATTAGGTGAGTATGTTTAATTCTTATGTCTTCCTGATGAATTTATTCTTTCGTTATAAGAAAGACCTATTTCACATGAGCACAAAGGTGGGAACAACAGACACTGGGCACTGCTAAAGGAGGGAGGGAGAAAACAGAAGGGACACACAACCACACTCTGGCTATCAGGTCCACTATGGGGGGGGAGAGGGCTGGTGGCTAGAAATCCAAACCTCACTTGTGTGCAATTTACTTATGTAGTAAATCCTCACATGTACCCCACAACTCTAAAGTTAGATAAATAAAATAAATAAATAAATAAATAAAGGACCTATTTATTTCTACTAACATTTTTTATTTTAAAGTATATTTTTTCTTATAGTACCATAGCTGCTTCAGCTTTCTATCGTGGCTGTTTATATGGTGTATCCTTTTCCGGTCTTTTACATTCATTTGTGTCTTTGAATCACGGTTGTCTCCAGTAGATATTCAGTATAGTTGGGCTTTTAAAAACCCATTTGACAATCTCTGTCTTTTGATTGGATTGCTTAACCCATTTCTAATTAGTGTATTATATAGTTGGATTTATTTCTACCAGTACATTTTTTTGTCTTATGTCTTTTTTGTTTCTCTATTTATACTTTTTTCTTTTGCAGTAAATGAATTTTTAATTGTAACATTTTAATTCCTTTCATTATATTCTCTAATTTTTTGAGTTTCTTTCTTAGTGGTTGCTCTAGGACCTACAATATGCATGCTAATATTATTTATTTCACATTTTTGCTGCCCTAATTCAGTGAGAAATAGAAACATTACTCTTACATGGCTCTATTTTTGTTCTCTTTTTTGTTATATTGTTATGTATATTACATCTATGTGAGTGAGAAATCCAACATACAACCCATTATAATCATTACTTTATATTTTATTTATAGAAGCTGACAAAAAGGAAGGTGGACAAGTGCTTATTTATAGAGTTTGTCATATTAACTTTCTTTGCCATTTTTAGTTCATTTTTTACTGTGAATTCAAGCTGCTGTTTGGTGTCATTTCCTTACTCCAGTACATCTTTACCTCATCTGTCTCCTTTGTACTGTTTTTGTCAAGTAGAGACAATTCAATATGTTATAGGCAAATCAATGAACTATGTTTCTATTGTTTAATGCAATTGCTTTTTAAATCAGTTAATATAAGAATGGAAAATATATATTTATATTGTTTTTTATAATTACATATTACCATCACTGGTACACTTTCTTTTTTTTTTTTTTTTTAATGTGAATTAGAATTGCTATCCAGGGTTTATTTTCTTCTGGTTAAAGAACATCTATTGATATTTTTTGTAAGATGAATTGACTAGCAAAGAATTCTCAGTTTTTGTTTTCTACGAAAATGTGTTTACTTTGCTTTCATTTTTGAAATGTTTGTTTTGCTGGATATAAAATATTTGATTTTTTTTTTATCAGTGGCTATATCACCCCATTGCCTTCCAACTTTCATTCTTCTGATAAGTTAATCATATTGTTGTTCTGTTGTTAGTCACTTATTTCACTTATTCACTTATCTTTTGCTTCTTTGAAGATTTTTTCTTGCCTTTGGCTTTCAGCACCTTTACTATGATGCATCTAGATATAGACTTCTTTGTGATTATTCTACTTGGAACTTGAACTTCTTGAATCTGCAAACTAATTTTTAATTTTGAGACATTTTCCGTCATTTATTTTAATTTTTTTTCTCTGTTCCTTCCTCTCTCTTCTTTACTTCTGGTGTTCCTGATATAAAATTGTTGATGTATTTAATGGTGTCCTACATTCTCTGAGGCTCTGTTTACTTTTCTTGATTTTTTTTTCTCTCTGTTTTTCAGATTACATTATCTCTATTGAGCTAATTTTAAGTTCATTGGTTTCTCTCCAGTTCAAACTTGTCATTGCACTGAGCTCCTTTAGTAAATTGTTCACTTTAGTTATGACTTTTTTAAAAATAGAAGTTTAGAGTTGAAAAGTATAATACTGATACTATCATATCTTGGTTTATTTTAAGCATGGTTCCCTTTAATCATTTGAACATATCTATAATAGCTAATTTGAAGTTTTTATCTGCAGAGTTTGACATCTGGGCCCTCTCATAGGCAGTTTCTGTTGCCCTCTTCCCCCTCCCATCCCTACCTACTCTGCCCTCCATCCCAGGTGTAGGTCACACTTTCCTCTTTGGATACATGTATTGTGATTTTTGTTGTTGTTAAAAATGGAATATTTTAATTTTAGATAATTATTCAGTTTCAATTACTGACTCTTTCCCTCTTACCTACCCAGGATTTATTGTCTGCTTAGATGTTTGTGACTTGGCTGATCTGTTTTAATGAAGTCTTTTTCTTACACAAGGAGAAGCTTCTGATGACTTGAGTATTTGTGTAGACACCCTGGAATGACAGTGGTTTTAGCAGGGCTCTCTTTGACTTCCTCTTTCCTGATCTGTTTGTTATACTGGCTCCCTTTGTTGGTATTACACCTAGCTATTAAGTTCCACTTCATTGCATACTAATTGTGTAGCTTTATTTTTGACAATGTCTGGGGCATAAATACCCTTGCAGTCTGATGCAGTTAAATTCTAGACCCTTTGCAGGTAAGTTTTTGAGGCCATTATTTGAGGTTTGCTCCAATCTCAGTCAAGCTCTTGTTAGTTGTGCTTTCCCCTAGTTTTCACTGGTAAACAGCAGGCCTATAGTTTAGCTTTTTCCTCTTATGTAGCTACTAGGTTCTTTTTGGTTGCTTTACTATGATAGTCTTTTATTTTATTTTATTTTATTTTATACTTAGGTTTGAATTTCTCCATAATTCCCAAAGTGAGCTTCCTTGGAGAGCATCATAGCTCTCTATACTTAGATCTTTTTTCTCTCCCTGTGAAAAATTACAACTCTGCTCTGAAGCTGTGATTGGGCACTGTGTACTGTTTTTCTTGCAATGACACACCTACATCATGATCAGAGCACTGCACGGGGCCATATAAGACTCTGATCTTTCATTATTGCCTCTTTTATCCTGGTATGGAAAGATTGCCTGATGTGTGAGCTGGGAACAAGGTCCATCAGGGCCCCAGTGTTTTCAGCCTATCATGTCTGGGACAGATGTTCCACCCTATGGCTGAAGGCTATGTGGAACATCTTGTCTAGATTTTAGCTTTTGTATCATAGTGCTGAGGGGGATGGGACATGGTGGGGCTCTGACACTCCATCTTTTTAGCCGTAAGTGCTCCAAGTAGAGCATCTATTACACTGAGCTGAGTGGGGGATAAAAGAAGAAAAAGTTCATGGCTTGAAAATTACTGACTCTGCTCCTAACTAAGATTTAGTAGATTTTCTTGAATAAATGTTTCTCCATTTGCTGAATGCCCTTGGGACAATTTTCAGAGGGTTTTAAGTGGTTGTTTTAAATCTACTTTTCACTGATTGTTTAACTGGGGAGAGAGTCTGCAGAGCTCATTGCACTGACCAGTAGATGTCTTATGTTCTCCTTTAAATTTATTTTAAATATGGCCTGGCATAGAATTTCAATATTACCTATAAGTAGTTGCCATGGAAATTTCATTTTTTTTCTTAACAAAGAGTACATATGTGTTTCTTGCCTGTCTTATCTTCTATCTCCTATTTACAGGTGTCGGGCTTATTTCTTACCTACTTTGCATCTATCTGGACACTGTTACCTCTGTCACACGTGGCTGTCTCCTCGTATTTGCTTTTATGTATAGGCTCCATATTTCTACTTGAGGCACTGGAAATGGTGACACAATGTATAAACTGTCTACTTGGCTCATACATTAGCTTTGATTTTCAGCCAATCTCTTGGCTTTTGTAAACCAGTGTGTGGACTGTCCATCTTTCTCAGACTTTGTTCTCCTAAGGATGACACTTGTTCTCTTTGTATGTAAGCTTCATGTGCTGCAATCCCCATGTAGCAATTGTGTGGAAGAGAGAACATTTGGAGTCAATAGAAGAAGTTTTGGCTAACTGCCTACCATAGAACCATATTTTACAGCAACTTCACCAAGGTAGCTGTCTGGTAATGGCCTTCAAGACTGCATCACAATGAGACTCCTTTAAAGACAAAGGCAAAAAATTGTCAGACATGAAGGTGTCTTTTCCTATGAATTTTAAATGCATCTATTAATGAGATGGAGCTTTCATCATAGCAATTGAAATCAGTGGTTATTTTGCCTGAGGAAGCATTGGATGGAGACTGTTTGAAAGGAACTCTTTTTCATTTGAAGTAGAGCAAGACATAAATTCATTGTTGTTTGGTTTGTTGAGTCTTGGATCTTGGGGAAACTTGTTTGTTTCCTTAATTATCTAATGTGTAAATTAAATCTTTTGAAGGCACACTAACTAGGAAATAATAATAATTTGCAATTCATTTCAGTTATTTCACAATAGTCTTTCTCTTCCTTCCTCCCATCTTCATGGAATATCCAATTGTATCTTAGCATCCCTTTTTAGTATTGACCTCAATTGCCTGTGATGAGAAAGATTTTGAACTTATAGCGAAAAAATAATTTTCACCTTAGTATATGAAATTGTAATACTATGAAATTGATTGTTTTGATCTGAAATAATTATTTGATTTGTGAACCCAAAAAACGCTTATTCAGATGTTTTCTTAAGGTAGCGTGTTGAAGGTATAGATAAGATATGCTTTTAAAAGTGAGATACACCCTGAATTATATACCACATCTTAAAAAAAAGTAAGATACAGAATTCAGAGTTTCACTTTAAGATACTGTGTAGGTGAAATGTTATTTGCCTCCTTTTTGTTTATTTTTTAGGCAGCAGGTGCAGTTCGGCCTCTTGTATCTACTGTCATCGGCCCGTCTGCTGATGGTTGCTTAGACCACTCTCTAGAACGTGCCAGACACAGGGCAAGTGAAATGCCTCAGGCTTTTTTATTTGATGTGATCTACAAAGCATATCAGCAGGTAAGAATTCTGGCTTTATTTGTTGGTTTCCCAAAATTACTTCCTCATTTGGAGAATTTCTAGAGGGCTAATTTTTGGAGGAACTTTTGTGTGTATATTGAACAGAGAAATGGAGGGGATAGATGAAAGCAATTGTAGATTAAGACTTTCATCATTTTTTTTAATGATGGGTAATATAACAGCATATTGATATGCTGTTTGGGGTGATTCATGGGACTTAGCTTATAGTTGTTCTCAAGCCTAAGATTTATTACTGTGATGTTTTAAAGATACACAGCTTGATCGGAAGAGAAAGAGACACAGGCGGAATCTTGAGGAATCCCTTTGCAGCCTTACTTATGCTCTTTCCCTCCCCTGAAGGGTCACACAAAGCACACACTCCCCTAGCTGTGAAAGTACATCACCATGTACGCCATGTTTCTTCCCAAGGAAGCCCATTAGAGACATAGTGCCCAAGGCGTAGACTTGGTCATGACATCCTTTGGTTAGTACTTACAAAAATTCCAGATTTCCAGAAGGAAAGCAGGTATTCAGCATAAACCATATTGTTTATGCAAACAGTCTAGGCAGGCATGGTGAACCACCCTTGCTAGTTGACTCTTAGAAGCTGGCCAAGGACCTGCCCTGTTGTGCAGGTCTTTCTATGGACTGAGGTCTCAGGCTTGCTAGGTCACATTTTCTGCACAGTTCCTGAGATATCTTGTTAATCAAAAGTTTAGTTAAAGGTAAGTCACTTTTAAAAAAATTTCAAATGATTCGTTAATGTTACTGGATTACTTGTGTTTTATTTTTTCATGTTTTAAAAACACTTCTATACTTATACAATTTTACTGCCATTTGTTAGATCATTGAACAGTTATTGAGTATCAGGTTTTGGGCTTGTAAGAAACGTCCCATGAGATATGAGTTAGAGCAACTCATCCAGTGCCTTACTCAGCTTGTTGCAGGATGCAAGAACCAATTATCTGGGGGAATAAAAGAGTGGCCACAGTGATAAGAGGGTTATGGCCCAGAGCCTAGTGAAGAAAGTACTTTAAGAGGGATTGGCAGTAGTAGGAAACTGCCGAGGGCACAGGGGGCACACCCCATCAACAAGGGTGCCTGCATGATGACTATTTGCATACTTGGCCATAAATTATACCCCACATCTTTTTTTTTTAAAAAAAGAATAATTGAATAACTGTGTAAATGCTGCATAGATGTTTTAAAAAAGTAAGAACTGAGAACTGCCTGTAAGCCTGTGCAACGTGACATTGCTGGTGTTTGAGCGGTGTGGTGGATCTGAAAACCTGGTTGGATTGAGAAAGAATGGAAGGGCTGGTTTTTGGAGGAACTTCCATGTGTATATTGAACAGAGAAATGGGGGGGTAGCTGAAAGCAATTGTAGATTAAGACTTTCATTATTTTTTTTTAAGATGGGTGATATAACAAGCATATTGATATGTTATTCGGGGTGATTCAGTAGTGAGGGAAAGGTCAAACTGGAGTAAGGGTAGATAGAACCTAGTGCACCAGGGGTGTTGCAGTTGACCTTGCCTGGGAGTATGGATGGTTCATCCACAGGGACAGAAGGAAGAGTGGAGTAGGTGGATACAGGTGCAGATAGTTTAGTTGAGGTGGTGGGAGGGCTTGAAATTTGTCCTCTTGTGTCTGTTTTCTCATTGATCTAGGGAGCCAGTCTTCAGTTGTGATTGCAGGAGGTAAGTGAAGTGTCCAGGGTTTAGGAAAGAGATGCTGTTGGAAATAGTGAATAATGCCTTCTATTCTTATATTCTTATTTAGTCTAAAATGTATATGTAAAACTGTTCCAAAGAAAAAATATATCGGGGCTAGTTTTTGGATATTCATGGTAAACTGTGATAACTTTTGATAAAAAATATTTAGAAAGGAATTGAATGGTTCCGCTCATTAAAGTGGTCTTGAGATAACGACTTACTTATTTTTTTATTATCAAAGGGTTACCTTTACTTTGTGGAACACATAATAGTGTTGACCATTTGAGAGTTGAGCAGAAATCTGGGTGTTGTAACCAAGGTCATATGAAGTTGAATCATATTTAGAAGAAACACATTGTAAGCTGATCCCAGTCATTGTGGATTGTTGCAGAATAAAAGTGGAAGGTGTGCAGTTTCAGGCAATAGGTGACTCTTCCTCTTAAATGGGTGCTGGAAGTCACTGATGTCAAGATGCCTTTCTGTATGCTAACCGCTTAACTGTTTTATCCTTCCTGCAGTTTCTTCTGCTTATCTCATTTACCCTCTTGTTATATGTGCTCTAGCCTTGCTCACTGATTTTAGTTCTTCAAATACTGCAAGTCTCCTTCTATCTTGAACTTTACTTCTTATCTTGCTCCTTATCCTTTAGATATCAAATAATTATTATTTACTGAGGGAAGCTCTTCTTGTCCTGCTCAGACAGGTTTTTTTTTTTTTAAATTAGAAAATATAGTTTATTTAGAAAGTAAATTGTAGCGAGAGAGAAAGAGGGGATTTGCCTCCCCAAGGGGAGGAGGGGCAAAACTTAAGAAAACATGGTGACAGCCATAACTCAAAGAGCACGTGGCCACACCAAAGTTTAGTAAGGCTATGGTCCTGCTCAAACTTTAATCAACACAATATGTGTTCTCTTAGAGCTTTTTTTTACTCTCCAACATCAGAATTATAATTGAATAATTATTTGAAGTCCCTCTTGAAATATCTGACTCCACTGCTTGACTGTGAGCCTTGTGAAGGCAGGGATGGTATCTGTTTTGTTCTTAGCAACCTTCCTGGTGTATTGTTAATACAGTTAATAATATAGTATTAATAAGCATAATATAGTAATATAATAAATATTATTAATGGATTTGTTCAAAGGAATGACCATAAAAGGCTGTGCGTGCATACAAAAAACAAGGAAAATGATCCATATATTTGATCTTCCTCTGCTTAGGCCTCTCTTTCCAGACATTCAAACTGCTTGTTTCCTTTCTTTGTTTAGGCCTCTATGCAAAAGTTGGCTTCCCAGGGAGGCCTTACCTGCTAATTTTATATATAATAGCAGCTTCTGTCATGTAGCCCGTTATTCTGCCTTAATTTTCCTTATTAGATATCATTGCCTGACATATTTATTTGTTTGGTAAATATTTGTCTTCCCCAATAGAATTTCAGCTCCATGAAGGCAAGGACTTTGTTTTGTTCACTCTCACCACTAGTACCTGGAAGAGTTAATGGCACACATTAGGTTCTTGATAAATATTTATGTGTTAGCACTAATTCCAACTGCATAAACAGATTTGTGTGTGGGTAATACATCTGCAAATGTATATATGAGGGAGACTCCAAAAAACTCAGAAAATTGTGCATTTATTCTTACATATTTAAACTTAGTCACCTTGAACGTACTCTCCATTTGATGCAATATACCTATCGAGATGCTTTTTCCACTGCTCGAAACAGTTTTTGAATCTGGCAGTTTTGATGCCTTTTAGTGCTTCTGCTGTTTTTCTGTTTCACCTCTTTCATATTGGCAAAACATTTCCCTTTGAGGACTTTTTTTCATCCAGAGAGACAAAAATCATATGGGACGAGATTGGGTGAATAGGGAGAGGGGGCCAAGGAGGTCAGGCCATATTTGGTCAAAAACTACTGGACACTCAACACGGTGTGGGGCAGGTGTGCTCATAAATCACCCATCATGAAATGGGAAAATGCATGGAGAGAATCTCCAAAAAAATTTACTGAAACCAAATGCAGCCTCTCACAATAATGCTAGGTACACTGTTGCCAATGGGTTCCTAGAACACTTTACCTAACAGAGGAAGCCTGGACTATAAGGTCCCGCCCTCCAGAAATATAATTTTGGGTTTTTTGCCCCCCCCTTGTATTATACATATACACACTTAATAAATTCTTTCTAAATCTTTAAGAAATTCATCTGAAATTATGAGAAGTATGGGCAAAGATTTGTGTGTAAAGTTTATTTGCAGAACTTTTAGAAATATGAACATTTCTACTGAGCCTGTACCTCTAGGGCTCAATTAAAATGTGATATATTCATTAGTGGAAACATTTAAAAGATCACTAACAGTTACTTTTGTGGGATATGAGCATGAAAATACTCACAATAGAATGTTATATTAATGAGAACCTAATGATGTTAAAATTATATTAATAACTACACATAAACATATTGTTTATAGTTATGTCTAAATATATGTGTGTGAATACACACATCAGAAAGGTTGGTTGCATCTGTGAATATTGAAATGTTGTTAGTGCCTATGTCTGCACTGATAGCCTAAAAGTTATTAAGATCTTTGGATATGATACTTAAGATACACAAATATTTAAGTATTTGTTTTCAATTGGTTTGGGGCTTTTCAGTATAATGAGGTATTTGTTCAGTTTTCTTTTGTTGTTTAAGATCATCTGCAGAAGAAAAAAATTTATCTCATCCCTTGGGGATTTTTAATGACATATTAAGAGGTTGGTAAAAGAAAAGATTACTCAAGATCATAACAATGATTATTAAAGAATAATAAACAAAAAGTCAATAGTGAAAATTATGCAGTCTTCAGGGACATGAAGAAAAGCTCACAGATTGGTCCAGAGGATTCTTACATGAAATTCTGTCCTGTGCAGTTTGAGGAAAATTAATACATTTCTGTACAAAGAAGCTTTTTAAGTTCCATACACTTATTTCCTGAGAAAATTGATATGGTGGTCACAGATGGCATTCTAAACTTTATTGTTCAGAGATCTGGCCTTATTTCTAATGCTCAAGTTTTCAGGTACATAGAGAATTTTACAAGGTAATTTGTTAATTAAGTTTTCATGAAAATGCATATGTATGAGCTATACAACAGGATTCAACCAGTGACAGAATTGGTCTCTGGAGTGTTAATTATGTTCCTTTTGATTTGATGTCCTTGATTTTACTGTGGAGACATGCAATATTTATTTATTTATTTTTTAAATAAAGCAGAATGTCTATTTATTACTTTCCATTAAAACAATACC